GGGGGGAGCAGAGTCTAGAGAGAGAGGAGTCTTGGGAATTCACACCAAGGAGAGAAACACAAAGTCTGGAAAGGATCCAGAAAGGAAGGAGGAGAGCAAAGAGGCCAGGCCTGTGGGAGGTCACTGTGAGGGAGGACAGAAAGACAAGTTTTATGGTTCGCAGGAGTTTAATTCTTTGAAAGACTGGTAGTGATCTGAATTGCTCTGACCACTTCTTTCTTGGATGGGCCATATTATATTTTTTTGTTTTGCCATCATCAGAGACTAGCTCAAAATGTATTTCTTTCATTCATTCATTCACTCATTCATTCATTCCCTCATCTGGTAATTAATTATTGAACCCCTCCTGGGAACTTCTCTGATAGATAAGGGAGTACCAAGAGGTTTAATCAGTGGCCACATTCCAGCAGAGAACTGTGAAGTCAGGCAGTCTCTCACAGTAGTTAAAAGTGATGTTTCCAATTTCTGATGCCAGAATGTGGTCTCTGCCAGGGAATGTACAAGATGAGCCTTGAACATCATGTATCACATAGGCTGGAAACGATCAAAGCCTAGGTCACATCGAAAGGGCTCAGGATTCAACAGAGGAATTTTCCAGGACCCTGAAAGGGCGTGATTTCGGCATCATAATAAGGCATAGAAATCAGAAAGGAAGGTTTCAGGGTACAAGATAAGCACACAAAAACCAACTGTATTTCCATGTAATGGCAATGAACATGTGAAGACAAAAATTGAAAACATAATATCATTCGCGATTGCTCAACAAATGGGAAAATTATACTTATGTGAGTATCTGGAAAGTATGACTAGGACTTCTACGTGAAAAAGTACAAAATCACTGGAGAAAGAGACCGAAGCTCTGAATAAATGGAAAGCCATATCAATTTCATAGATTGAAAAATAATAAAGGTATCATTTTTTTCCAAACAGGTAAATAAATTTAATATGATACCTATCAAAATCCCAGGCATGTTTTTGTAGATGCAGGGGAGATTTTTCTAAGATTCATAAAACAGTATGATATTGGTAGATAAACAGACATGAAGATCAATGGAACAGAATACAGAACCTAGAAACACCCATGGAAAAACATCCAATGGATTTTTGACCACGGTGACGACGCAATTCAACGGAGGAAGAAAAGCCTTTTCAACAAAGGTGTGAAAGCGAATGGACACTCACAGGGAAAAAAATTATCCTGGACCTAAGCCTTATACACCTTAAATGAAAATTAACTCATAATAAATTCAAGATTTCTATGTGAAAGGCAAAGCTATACAATTTCTGGAAGAAACACAAGACAACCCCTTTGGGACCTAGAGCTTGGTGCGGAGTCCTCAGACAGGACAGTGAAAGCATAACCCATAAATGAAAAAAAAAAATCAATAAACAAGATGAACAAAATAAAAACTTCTGTGAAAAACCCTGTAAAGATAAAGGCATGCTACAGATGGGGAGAAAATACCTGTAAACCAATATTCAGGACTGACATAAGGACACATATCTAGAATACAGAAACAACTCTCAAGAGTCCACAGTGAAAAAAAAAAAACAAACCCAATTAGGAAACAGGCAAAGGACTTGAGAGGCATGTCACTGGAAAGGATATACGGATGGCGGAGGAGCCCATGAAAAGTTGCTCAACATCACTAGCCATGAAGGAAATGCAAATTAAGACCATGATGAGCTCCGAGTACACACTTATTAAAACAGCAAAAATAAAAACGGTGACGCGGAGAACCTGCAGCTTTCATTCACTGCTGGCGAGAATATGAAATGTTAGAGCCACACTGCAAAACTGGCAGCTTCTTGAAAAATTTAAACATATACTTACCATTTGACCCAGCAATTGCACTCCTGGACATTTATCTCACATAAAAGAAAAATTCACATCCACACCAAAGCCTACACACAAACGTTCACAGCAGCTTTATTTGGAAGAGTCCAAATCGCGAAGCAACTCCAATGTCCCTTAATGGGCGAAGAGTTGGACAAAGTTTGCTGCCGCCATACTGCGGAACACGACACCGGCAGTGAAAAGGAGCTACTTGTTGATAACACACAGCTCGGGTGGACCTCCAGGGCGCTACCTCACTACTGAGTGAAGAAAGCCAATCTCAAAAGATCACACGCTGTAGGACTCCACTTATATCGTCATTCTTGAAATGACAAACTTATGGAAATGGAAAACAAGTTAGTGGTTGCTGGTAAGGATGCTGTAAGGGAGAGAAGTGGGCGCAACCACTCGGGAGATCTCTGAGGTCGCGGGGCGGTTCTGTGTCCTGACGGC